TCGCCGGTTCGATGGAAATTATTTACGTGCAAACATTACGCAGTTAAGTGAAGGTGGTTCAAACGTGCACATAATAGACAAAAGCTTTCAGGTTCAGGTAAACGAAAATCTGTATTATTATAACAACAGTTTTTTCCATCTCTCTCACTCATCATTTATCCATTCGCCCGTGTTTCAGTTTGTAGTTTGCATCGTTCTTCGGCCTTAGAAAGTTATACAAAGTTTTACAAGTTATTATAACACTGTGGTATTGCAGTATTAACGTAGATAACAAATAATACAAACAATAATATTATTTTTGGTAAGCCTATTTTTACTGTATCATAAATCTTTTCGAACTAGTTATTAATATAGATTTAATTTTAAAGAGTTCACAAGTTTGCAATTAGTTATGGAAAAAATTTTTTGTTTTGCACACGAACGTCTAACTCAATTAAGACTATTTTCATGTACTTAATGAGGTAACATTCCATTAATTTGTGTGGATGTAAAGTGTACTTTATTATCGTAGTACTTGTAGTAGGTAGATACTTAAATTACTGAATTAAATCTTCCACAAAATTTCTATCTTAATGTACAATTAGAGCGTGTAATATTCAATAAAACAGAGGCTTCTTACTCATATTCTAAATATATCTATTTAATTACATATTTTCGTTTACAAATATGTACATGACTTTTTTTAATCGAACATTCAACTTTTAACACTGCGAGGAACTAACACACGCTGTGTAAGCTACAATATCGGATGTGTACAGTCTATAAAAAAGTTACTGAATAGATGCCTGTACAATCCCTCTAGCAAAAATTATAGTAGANTTGTGATTTGTACGTACAGGCATGTAGTGGTACACATAAAGATAAGTAAATGACAATATCTGTTCGCTCATCTTAAGTCAGAGCAACAAAAATGAAGGACGTCATAATTAAGGGGACAGGGCGGTTGCACGAAGATAATATTTTTATAAAAATTAAGTTTTTTTTTAAAGAGGCTGTAAATTCTTAGACGGGCCAGTAGATTTTAAAGTGCTGTCTTAAAAAGTACTCGAACAGGAAGAGAAATTAAAAAGAAGGAACTGATTTTGTAATGTAATGATTTTTCACGATTTTTGAGTTGGAAAAAAAAGAAAATTCTCCCAAAATTTTAATTGATTTTACTTTTCTGAACTAGCAACCCTTTTCGTTTCGTTTATGTATCACAAGGATTATCCAGCTACGTTGTAATGTTTTGTATGTAAGTAATATAATATTTTTTAGGGGAATATTCTTTTATCCTACAACGCCACGTTCTATTAGGGGATTTCCCAAATTGATTCGCTTGTCTATAGCAGCAAAAGTTCGGATATTATTTTTTCATTAGTTTTACACACTTTTCTGGAGATTCGTAGTAATACAACTCTGTGCTGGAGACCCATTTCTGTCACACTGCATGTAGTAAACTCGTTCAGAAGCCAGATCAGTAGACTAACATGTGAATATTCTAAAGATTCCAAGAGAATCAAAGGGCTTTGGATTGTGGAACGGTACACGCAGAATTAGTAAATAGTAGTCAGAAATTGGAATTTTTTGCTTACAAACTCATGTTATCTACCAACGATAATAATGCCTGGGCGTTCCGTACGACTCCAGATGGATACGTGTGTTAGAAAGCGTTTGCCTGGGTCTGTTTCGCATCGTTCCCCAGAAACCCACTCGCCCACCCACATCCACCTGTCCGCCTACGTCCCAATTAGAGTTACAGAAGTGGGATGAAAAGAGCCAAAATAAAAGGTGACGGCGCAGTGGAAAGTACCAGTGGCCAAAAGCGTCGTTCTCCCGGGGGGTTGTGTGCGGGACCGTTGGGGGGTGGTTGGGGAGGTGGGGAGGGGGCGTCACGTTTAGTTCGCAGGTGCCGTGACCGCGATGCTCGGCTCGCAATCGTGCGCCGGGCGCTCCATTCACCGTTGAGGTTTCTTTTTTCGAAAAAAGATTTTTCTGTCAAGTCTCCACCCGCTCTCGACGATAGGCCAATCGACCCATAGGCGGAGCTCGTCGACGACGCCGTCGCCGCGGCGCGCAACGTCAGGTCCCGGACCTGCATCTTTCATACGTTTCGTTTTAATAAAACATGAACATTAAATATAAAAGTTCCAAGAACTGACACCTTACAGTAATTGATTTTGTTTTTCTGTAACGATTTACACGCCCCTTTCGAAATTACTGTGGCCTTGTTTCTTGTCAGAGGTTCGGTTTTTGTTTCTTTTTCTTGTTGTTGTTGTTGTTTTTATGAAATTAATAAATGCCGATATTTTTCTCGTCAAACAAATTCTTTTGATCTTCGCTTGTATTTTTTCATAATGTGTAATTGTAAGATTTGGGTAAAACTTCTCTCGAACATTACCTACTGATTGGCCATTGTTCGGACTTCACTTTTCAACGACTTAAATTCTAAACAAGTGAACTAATTCGTTTAATTTACCATCTGTCCTTAATTTTATTTCCACATTCAGCCGTGTTCTTTGAGAAGAACATTGAACTTCAACGTCTAACCATCAATTTCTTTAGAATCCAGAGAACCTTCGTCAATAAATTGATGCCATCAGTAGACAAAATTACGAAAAAGTATGTAAATTCCAATATAAAGTGTTCTTCTTGAATTGCCTGGAGACAGACAAATAGTCAAATACATTCTTTATAAGATTTAGATTGGTCCCTCCCTCGAACTTATGAAAGTAAGATAACATTTTTTTCTTACGGAGAAATCCAAAGTGCGTCATCAGAATAAACGTCACATAGACCTTTTAGGGTTAAGATCATTGTCCTGTCGTCCACTACATGTAGGTACCGTTTGTTATCCTGTGCATTTTCCTAAAACTACAACATCCCATATCCTTAAGTATTTGTGAACAGTAATCCAATCTAGATGTACTTAATATATCTCTAACTAGCCCTTCATGCCTGTGAAGATGTCCTACCAACCTATCTTATCTATTTCTTATTGAATTCCATGGGGAGAGTACGATTTCCGTGGCGCCGCAATCTAATGACTGTTTTAGCTTAATTGGCCCAAAATAAAACGAAAATGAAGAATAAAATTTTTCGATATCTCGCTTCGTTTTCGAGATATCGATACTTGAAATTATAACTCAAAATTAGTTGAAAATTCGCTTGATAAAATAGATGGCGTTTAATACGACGTCTAAAATGAAGATTTTTCTTTTTTAAATATAANTATCTTAATGTACAATTAGAGCGTGTAATATTCAATAAAACAGAGGCTTCTTACTCATATTCTAAATATATCTATTTAATTACATATTTTCGTTTACAAATATGTACATGACTTTTTTTAATCGAACATTCAACTTTTAACACACTGCGAGGAACTAACACACGCTGTGTAAGCTACAATATCGGATGTGTACAGTCTATAAAAAAGTTACTGAATAGATGCCTGTACAATCCCTCTAGCAAAAATTATAGTAGATCTTTACTTTTTTTTAATTGTACCATTAAGAGTACCTATAAAGATGAGCTGTATTGTCAGTATTTTTATTTTTACTATTGTAATTTATAGCAACAATTTCCAAGTTTTCCCCTTTTCCACTAACTTACCATGCCTCATCTTTTTAAATTTAAAGTAGGTTCTGAATAAGGTACTGATTTTTTAATGAGAAGGAATAAATTAAGAAAAAGCCTTAGTGCAATATTCTTCTTCTGCAAAAATTGAAAAATTAAAATCCCAGTAAAACTTCCAATGTTCCCATAAAAATTTCCCTTTTGAACTGATTGTCTATCTGTGCTACAGCATCGGGACGCGTCGTCTTGTTTTCAACAGAATGCGTTCCGCGTCATCATCTTCGTCATCATCGTCGTCATCGTCTTCTTCCCCCGGGAGCCGAGATCGGGAGGGTAAGGAGCTGATTCAGTGCCCCACCATAAACTGTGACGGCATGGGACATGTCTCGGGCAACTACGCTACCCATCGCAGGCAAGCACACAATACATCCATCTCCAACAAAACTAACATCCCAAAATGGTGATAGTCAGAAAAAATACAAAAATAACGCAGTTACTATTTATTATTATCAATACCCGATTGTCTCATATTTCTTCATCCCCTACCCCCCTCCTGTAGATACAGCAACAAAAACAGCACTTACTACTTACCTACTACTACCCTACTTTTAAACTTTTTCAACTTTCTTGACCATGCCTCTACAGTTATACACTGATCACTGAGTCAGGTCTTTAAACTCACAGCAATTCCTGAACGAAATTAAGATATTCCTTATGTTTTTTTTCTAACTTACTTCGTCGGCCTTGGTATGGGAAAGAATAACATCCTGTGTATAAACTTTTGTGGGGATGGGGGGAAGAGTTACTATTTCTTTGATAAAATTTCTAAAATTGTACTGTCTGTAAATTGGCATTACATCAACTTTTGCTTTTACGATCAATTGATAACGAAAGACATATTGTTCTTTTTTAATTAATGAGCTAAGTGGATATCTTCGCCCTGGTCAAGTATTTAAAATACTACAATTACCTGTAAACAGTGTGTGATGGCAATATACCGTCCGTGATTTATTGAAGTTGCTTATGGCGTGCTGATGAGAAGTAATAAATCCGCGTCCGGTAGTATCGATAAGTTGTTGACCAAGAACTTGTTCTTTTTTTAAAGTTCATCACCCTGTATATGCATTTGTAAATGTTTTTGAATAACATTATCTTTCTTGTGATATTAAAATTCTTTACATATGTGTTTCGTAAATAGATGCAGATACAATGTACATGTTGGTAAATATTTTTTATATGGAAAATAATGGCTATGTTTTCTGATGTAAATGAATGACCTACTAATTATAGTAATTTACCAACCACTTACCTACGTTTATTTTAAAAAATTTTAGATACTCTAAAATTAAAATCATCGGTTTTTTGTGTATTTTTTCTATAAGAATAAAATATAAAAGAAAATTCCAAACGATCGTTCGATATATCCTGCGCTTTCTTTTTAGTTTGTCGGGTTGTCCGAGGGCAGATCGCTCTCAAATACAGACACACTCACAAGAATTGAAATGTCCCACCCCTGGATGTGACGGATCCGGTCACGTAACAGGAAATTATTCATCTCATCGGAGCCTGTCAGGATGTCCAAGGGCCAACAAGCCAAAAAGTAAACCGAGAGATGGACAGGACTCTGAACCTTTACGGTAAGTTTTATTTACAAAATTTATTCGTCGAAAGGAAATAATGCGCAAACTTTGTACTTTTTATCCTACCCAATTTCTACCTTGTATTTAGAATTATTTGATATTCATTTTTCACGCTATCAGATGCCCCATTCCAGGTTGCGATGGTTCAGGACATGCGACAGGAAAATTTCTGTCGCACAGAAGGTAAATCGTCTGTAAAGAAAAACAGCAAAAGTAATTTTTTATTTATGTTGTTAATAATAATACTTTATATGCATGAACTTTTTAATGCAAACGAAAATTTGTTTTGCCGTTTGATAAGACACCCCTTTATCCACCAACCACTATCTACAACATGACCAAGAGAACAACGATTAACATTATTTATTAATTTAGTTATTTTTCAGACCATAAACTAAAATTTATGTTATGCCTACATTCCCTGCCATCCCGCTAACTATTGTACTTATATAAGTAAGGTACAAACGTATTTTTTTTTTTTTTTAATAAGCCTGATGTTATTTTTTTGCAAGATAAAAATTATATGGTATTATCTGCGATATAGAATAGAAATTGTTTTAGTGCTTCTGGTTGTCCAATCGCCAACCGGAACAAAATGAGAGGAGTTTTGGACAATAGCGGAAGCACAGATCACAAGGCAGCAGTTGCTGCCGCGGCTGCGATGAAATTCGAAGGTGTAAATTGTCCAACCCCCGGTTGTGATGGTACAGGACACGTGAACGGATCCTTCCTGACCCACAGATCTTTGAGCGGCTGTCCAGTGGCAGGACAGACGGCTAAGAAACAGAAGTATGATGAAATGCCATCGTTTTACCCTAAGGCCTATGCAGGTTTGTATTAGAAACATGAGAAATAATTATTTTCCTGACGGAGTTTTTTGTTGTTAGGAATGGACGGTCAACCTGGATCCGGAGAAGACCTCATGACACTGGAAGCCGAAATATCAGAATTACAAAGGGAGAATGCCCGAGTTGAATCGCAAATGTTGAAACTGAAGAGTGATATCACGGCCATGGAAACTCACTTAACTCATGGAGAAAAGGTAATACATATTAAGAAGAATGTATAGGTTACAAAGCAAAGCCATAATCATTACATTGTTATACTTTTTAAACCTTTTCAAGTAGAGATCAATATATTTATTTAGAAACATCAAGATAAGCATGCAAAGTTCTTAAACATTGTAAGTGAATTTATATAAATTGAAATTAGGTTTGTGTACACAAATGCACCTAATTTTAAGTTTAAATTCGCCAGCGTTTTCGTAAAAAAGCAATAGGACTACACTAACCCTTTCCCACCAGGAAAACCAGGCTCTCGCCCATCGGAACAACAACCTGAACGAATATTACGAAAACATCCGCAACAACTTCATCAATATCCTGTCGGAAAGGGTGCGACTTCCCCCGGACGGCAGCGACGTCCCGGAGAAGATTGGACACGAAAACTTCGACTCCTACCTGAACAAACTTCAAACGCTTTGTTCGCCAGAGAACTATTGCACCGAGGAGAACAGACCACTGTATGAAACGGTCAAGTGCGTTCTACAGGACTTCACCGTGCTACCTACACCCATTTAATAATAATGGTAGTTAATTAGTTTTTCATTTTACGATAATAATAATATTAATAATGNCTCACATGTCTCGGCATATGCATGTACGAGCGTCTACACCGTATTTATATGCGTATGCGCGAAGAAGAATGCACGTGTCAAGTGTTTGCCGCGGTCGCTGTCGACGCCCTTTGCCGTAGCTTCGAAACCGCCGTCGAGCACACGCAGGGCATCTCCCAACTTGAACTGCTGTATGTCGAACTCACTCGCAAAGAACAACAAAAGCAACTACGCAGAGAACAGAAAAAACTCAAGAGGAAACGCAAGAAGGGTCGTGCCGCCAAAGAGACAAATGGTTGTGACAAATGCAAAGATGACGAGGAGGAAGAGGAAGAACTGGAGGACTGTTCCTGTTCGTCAACAAAATCTGATAAAGGATGCCAACCTGCTGATGGAAAAAAGAAAGATCCACTAGTGAAAAAGAACAATTTGGAAGCGACTCGTCGCTGGGTCGACGATTGCAAGTGTGAAAAAGAGAAAAAGAAAAATAGTAAGAAGAAGTATAACAACAGTAGTAGTAATAGTAGTAATGATAACGGCTACGACGCATACCTGGGGGATGACGAGCACAAAAAAGAAAATGGTTCATCGAGCGATCACTCCCACGACTGTGGGTACTCTTCTGAGAATGGTAACGGTAACGGCTGCTGCGAGACCGGGTCCTTGACGTCTAGTCTACCAAGTTCGCCAGACGGGTCAGAAATGGCGTGTTCAGACGGCTGCTGTCAGACCGAACAGGACTATGTACCCTACTCGAGATTCTCCTACGGAAATGGACAGCAACTTAGTTTACAAGAAATGTTAGAGGTAACTTGTAATCGTATTTTTTATTAAGTAATACACTAGAATCCAAAAATTTCACACGAAAAAGGTTTCTTATCTGTGATTTACCGCATGTTAAAATATTGTGTATTATCGCGTAAGTGTTTTTATAAAGTTTCGTTATTGTTATCTTATCGCACTTAATTTTTAAGGATTCTTTTTTTTTTTTCATAATTATTTCTATGGAGTTTTCAAATGGAAAAGGGAGAGCAAAAAAATATTTTCTAAATTTCTTAGTTGAGGAGGTTCCGTTGTTGTTACTCTAATAAGTATCAGTATTGTTCATGAACTGTTGTGTAATGTACATGTACATATGCCAAAGAACTAGTGTAACACATTCAATTTTCAGCAAAGCATTTGTTCACACCAAATATATATGTTAACTTCATGTGTTGTTAAATAAATTTGATTTAAACGGATAATTGAAATCAATTTTCCCTTTATTATTTATTATTTTTTATCAGTTACGTTAACAAATGCTTTATTTTTAAGCTTACTGTCGATGATTTACCGCAATAGAGCTTTTTATCCTCTTTCATTTGATATGTCGCATGATAGGAAAATGTTTTATATTTCCCTTCGAATTAACGTTTTTTATTTTGTCAAAACCTACTTTGTAAAATAAGTACAGGGTACATTTATTCTGTTGTTCGAAAATTCAAAATGGCGTCCGTCACGTTTCTACTCTCCAAAACACCATGAACTTTTAATTTTCTTCGTTTTACAAAACTCTCTCTTTAACAGTAATAATATTGCTGTTGGTTTGTGTTAATTTACCTCAAGAATAAAATAGGTACTTGTGGTTCTTGTATATATAGACTTTTAGAGAGTTTTATCTCAAAANTTGTCAAAACCTACTTTGTAAAATAAGTACAGGGTACATTTATTCTGTTGTTCGAAAATTCAAAATGGCGTCCGTCACGTTTCTATAATTTTTATTTTTCTGTCGAGTACAATAAACTAAGCCAATGATAATTATTACGCTATTGTTGTCTATTATTTTAGATGTATGACAAATTGATATTTTCTTTGCATGTATTTAATTTTTTACCTTATTTTTAATGTATGCACTGATCACCCTGTAGGTACATGTTAAGCAGCGTCATCTGTCATTGCGTTTATGAACTGTAAAAATTTACCGTCGCGTTCTGTAATGTCCTGCTTTATCGTTTGAGTAGGTAACAAACCACAAGTGAACAAAATTCAAGATTCTATTTGAGTAATGTTTTCATGAGTTTGTTGTGAAAAATAGAAGTAATTATGGCAGAAATACAACACAGCAGATTTGAGAAATCATTAGGATTATTAACTACGAAGTTTGTCAATCTGTTACAAAAGTCAAACGGAGGTGTATTGGACCTTAAAGTTGTATGTTGATAGTTGATTTGATAACATTGAAACATTTATGTTTATTTTCGCATTAAATCAACAGGCTGCCGATCTCTTGGCTGTGCGTCAAAAGAGAAGAATTTACGACATTACAAACGTATTGGAAGGAATTGGATTAATTGAGAAAAAGAGCAAAAACAGTATCCAGTGGAAGTACGCTTCTCAAATGCTGACATTCAGTCAAATGATAACTTTTTTTGTTTTAGGCCTTTTGCTTATAGAGAAGCCATTCCTGGCTGTAACTCCCAAGAATTCACAGATAAAGTTGCCCATTTAAAGAAGGAACTGCACAAACTTGAAGAATATGAAAACATGTTGGACCGACATAAAATGTGGATAGAACAGAGCATAAAGAACATCACAGAAGATATTGACACACAACGATATCTTTTTGTTACAGAAAGAGATTTTGCAAAGTTGTATGATCAAGAAAAAACAGTATTAGTGATAAATACACCTTTGAACACAAGTGTTCAAGTACAGGTCAGTAAATCATTTATTGTCCATTAATTAGATTAGAGAATCAAAACCAGACACAAGCAACTGAAGGTTAAGCAAGTCCCCCAACCAGAAATTAAATGCTCAAAGCATTTTTTTAAAAATTACTGTTTTACTATATAATATGCGTAATAATTTTTTTGTATTACTCTATAAACATATTTTATGTGCTGATGTTTTTGTAAAATAAATAACTATAAGCTTGAAATTCGTATACTAGACTTAATTGTTATTGTTAATTTTGAATTGCTGTTTTCTTTTGTAGGACTCAAAACTTGAAAATAATTATGAACTTAAAATTAAATCAAGTTCCGTACCTATAACTGCCAATTTAAAGGCAGATAGTAGCAATGAAGAAGAAAGTAGTAGTAGAAAGAGGAAAAGAAGTACAGATACAGTAAGCTTTTTTAGTGATATTGTATTTACAATTTAACTTTTTAAATTATGNGACAGTATTGACAAAATTAAAATTTTCTCAACATAATCTTGCCCCTACCTAAAACCATATTTAATGCTAATTTGTCCTGCTGACATATTTGGTAAAATTCTAGGGACAAAATAAGGGCTAACTTTACTAGTTCCTTTACAAAATGCAGCATTTGTTTCACAAATATCACGCAAGTCTACCATCCCCATTCCCACAGCCACACCTGTAGATTCCAAATCAGACTCGTTTAATTTAATCCATTTTGCATCTTTCAATGCCTCGTTTGCAATTAGTAATGCAAAAGAAGTTGCTAAAGACATTGATCTCAATTCGGTTTTAGAAAAGTGATTTTGTACATTAAACTCCGACTCATTTATACAAGCTGCTACCTTGCACGGCAGGTTTTCGTACTCCTTTTCTTTTAATTGTTTTATTCCACATTTTCCGTTAATGACATTGTGCCATGACTCTCTCAAGTTGCACCCCACAGGAGATAAAACCTCCATTCCCGTTACCACGACTCTTCGACGCATAATTACACATTCATTTTATTTTAAAAATATTTCCTTGGTGTACTATACACAAACTGCTTTACATTTATAGTAACATTAAGAGGAATAACATAAAAAATTAAATAAAATCAATGTTCTTTATAGGTTAAGAAAGACTTTGACATAGACATAACATAGATAAGATTGGATAAGATTAACTATGGATAAAATAGATATTTGACAACTGGAGTATGACATCGGAGCATCATCTATTATTTAGCCACTTAGCCGTAAAAAGGAAATATGAAGTGTTTTAATTTATACAGTAGATTGATTCCGTTTACGGAATTATGTCGAGAATTTGTAAAATGTTAGAATTATTTATATTGAGTTATAATTTTTTGAAATAAACCCGTTAATTTTTGTACTTCCTGCGATTTAAGGAAAGATGATCTTCTACCCAAATATGTCATGAATAACCAGGGACGGATCCAAAAAGGAAATTAAGTTTTCCTTAAATGCAGTTTCTGGAATGAGCTCCGTTAATAAGCCGTGTTTATCAAAATTCAATACTAAATACAAATTTGAGTCACTCAAGTCGAGAGTCATTTTTACATGTATCTTCATTAAAAATGAAGTTATTTTTTTTATATTCAAGGGCAAATCTAATTCAATTTTTTTCACTCAGCGTTACAGTACTAGGTCTTAGAACTCTTAGAAGGGTAAATTTCTCCCCCTTGGATCCGTCGCTGTGTATAACTATATATTTCAAAAACGTAATTTGTTTTAATGTGCCGCATTATAATATCTAGAATAATTCCACTTGAAGAACTACCGTCGAGGACTAGCTGATTCCTTCGATTTTGAGGCAGTATTGCCATGAGACAGTAGAAATTTCCTCCCGCGCCGCTTGCCCCCTTTTCACAATGGAAAGAGAATAGTCTTTGTTAAGACCATCGTTGTCGTTTGTGTAAGAAAACTATTATAATTTGATATTAAAATAGGAATATCACCACAATTTTTATGAGAGATAAAGACTAACAAACGTTTCAAAGAAATAAAGCTAAAACAATTTCCTCAAAATTTATTAATTGAAAAAAACAGCTACCACGCATTAACTGTTGTAATCAATATAAATTTTGTAATTAATGTCTTGTGCCTCTTTTTGTTTTTTTTTTTACACAAATTTACATTTTCAGTTTATGATAAATTCTTATTTAAACATTTTTTTGGTTTTAAATTTTTTACATAATTATGCGAAAACGGTTTTTTATTTTTCATTCAAAATAAGGCAAACATTGAATTATTTTTTTTAATCAGAAAAAACATTCTAAATAACAAAAATATAAAAAAAAAGAAATTTGAAATTATCAATATTCCACGGTTATAAATATTTATTGCTGTCAAGTTGGCTAAGAAATGATAATACTACACCAGAGAAATTGCACGTGTGAGAGTCATCTGTTAATAATCTTTAAACTTATTATCAGAAAAACCAATGACGGAAGTCAAATTCGGTCAGTTTGCAAATGGCAACTAGTAGTAGTTTGAGAAGAAAGAGATTGGTCGTTTGTGTAATTTAAATACAAAGTATTAAGAATTGTGTTTTAAGGAACCTGTCTTTATTAGTCTATTGTGATTTAAATGTTTTAAAATTTAAAATGGCAAAATTAGTAGACGTGTATCATCCTTCTAAGCCCCTTAGCAGGAGACAGTTACCCGTTGCCATCGATAAAACTTTAACGGTAATTTATATCTTAATAGAATTGAATATAAATGAAAATTACTACTTTTGTGACATTGCTTTTCGTAAGTTACTTGAAAATTTATTTTATAACTTTGTTTTTATAGATGGTCATGGACTTGAGATCCATGGGCCTGGCTTGTGATAATCACCAAGTGAAAAGTAAAGAACTAGAAGAATTCAATAGGAAAATGAACATTCTCACAAAGGAAGAACTTGCTTCTGCTTTGCAAGTGACTAGATCGGATATGTTACATGTTTTAAATCAAGTTGTTCCTTGTGTTGGTTGTCGGAGAAGGTAAATAAGTATTTTTATATTTATTAATAACCTGATGTAATTATATTCAATACATTTAAAATGGCATAGAATCGTATTAAACAGTGCCTTTTTCAGTTCACATTTTGACCTACTTTTTTTTAATGTAAAATTTAGGTTCCTATTTGGAGGTTATGTCAGTATTTTGTTTTTATTTCATACAAGACCTAGTTTGTGTTAATAACAAATGTATTCAAAGTGCAATTGTAACGCTCATAAATTTTGTACTGTCTAGAAATTATACTAATAACGAATTATTTAATATTTTAGTGTAGAACGCCTCTATTACCACTTTTTTAAAAATGGACATCCAACCTTAGACCCAATTGTAGTTAGACCTGATGGCTTTATAACGATTCATGAGGACAAACAAACTCCTCAAGTTCTTTGTGGACTGTTTCATGGGCATAGGTAAGTAAATTGATAAGTGGCCTTTGCATTTTGTTCACTGTAGGAATTATTTCTCCATTAATAGAAAAATTCACTATCATGAAGTTGTTAGACAACCTTTTCCTTAAAGTTAAAATACATTTAAAAAAAATAGAAAAAGTTAATGTAAAAGTTTAGTTTGTGAGGCTGTAATCTTTTGATATCTTATAAGTTATGGTTTTTAAGTAATGTTATTCAACCTTTACATTTATACTCTTAGTTTCATTACTATAACACTATACTATACTCTTACTAAGCAATTTTGCTGCTTTTATTTATTTCTTATAGAGCTCTCATTTCTTCACTTAATCATCTAGTAATTAATTTTAAATTCTTGCTGAGTAATTATACTTTATATAACGTACAATCTGAATTGTATATGTTCAAACATTGATTTTTTTCGCTTAATTTTTTGTAAAATTGAAAGGTATCTCTCTTTGCTATCATTGTCCTTAGCCAATCCTTATATCCTTTCTCTGCCTTTCTGCACATGCTTATCTTCTATTTCTACACATTAAATTTCAAATATTTATTTAACAATTTTGGATTATTTAATCTTACACAATGGTATGCTTTCATTTAATTAATATTGTTCAGTTTCCATATTTCAATTTTTTTTTGTATTTAGTAACTTATTATATTATTATATTTCTTTTTAAAGTGCAAGACTGAATAGTTTGGTTGATAATCAAATTCGTCGGAATAAAAAAAGTCCTCGTTGTATCTTGCATTCGCTCGATTCACAACGTAGTCGCCCCATCACTCCAACGTGGCGGGACGTGTGGGACTGCATGAAACCTGAATGCAAACGGGACTCTTGCATCATTGAGGCCAGCACCCTGCATACCACATTAGAAACGTACCTGCGTAAACATCGGTTTTGTGGAGAATGTCGAACCAAAGTTCTTAAAGGTTAGCCTAAAGAAAAACATACTTATAAGTTCTTATGTAGTTACTGATAGGGTATAGTCCTAACATCCATTAAGTCAGACTTTTTGCACGAGTTGTCTGGTTATGTGTATCTTAGAATTTGTACATTGGTTGTTAAATTTACATTTACTGATTTATCGTTATTTTTCGTTTTTTTTCAGCATACACGTTATTAGTTGAAGATCCAGAACCATGTAAAGAAAAGGGTTACGTGGCTGGACTTTACAGTGGCATCAAACGTTGTCTCCCTGACAAACATATTCACCTGCAAACAAAGACTGATTACATAACCAAGCTCATAGGACGTGCTGAACCCGAATTATTAGGAAGGTAAGTAATTAAAATTAAGCTTGTTTTTTATCTTTCTAATATGAAACCTTAAAAACTATTCCTTACAAATTCATAAATACTTCGGCTATAAAATTGATGTAACGTCTTCGTATATTATTAGTGTTTTTTCATCATTTAATTTGGTTTTATTAAGTATATTATTTCCATGTTTAGCCGAAGGGAACGTCATGCGAAAACACTGGAAATAGCACAAGAAGAAGTGCTCACATGTCTCGGCATATGCATGTACGAGCGTCTACACCGTATTTATATGCGTATGCGCGAAGAAGAATGCACGTGTCAAGTGTTTGCCGCGGTCGCTGTCGACGCCCTTTGCCGTAGCTTCGAAACCGCCGTCGAGCACACGCAGGGCATCTCCCAACTTGAACTGCTGTATGTCGAACTCACTCGCAAAGAACAACAAAAGCAACTACGCAGAGAACAGAAAAAACTCAAGAGGAAACGCAAGAAGGGTCGTGCCGCCAAAGAGACAAATGGTTGTGACAAATGCAAAGATGACGAGGAGGAAGAGGAAGAACTGGAGGACTGTTCCTGTTCGTCAACAAAATCTGATAAAGGATGCCAACCTGCTGATGGAAAAAAGAAAGATCCACTAGTGAAAAAGAACAATTTGGAAGCGACTCGTCGCTGGGTCGACGATTGCAAGTGTGAAAAAGAGAAAAAGAAAAATAGTAAGAAGAAGTATAACAACAGTAGTAGTAATAGTAGTAATGATAACGGCTACGACGCATACCTGGGGGATGACGAGCACAAAAAAGAAAATGGTTCATCGAGCGATCACTCCCACGACTGTGGGTACTCTTCTGAGAATGGTAACGGTAACGGCTGCTGCGAGACCGGGTCCTTGACGTCTAGTCTACCAAGTTCGCCAGACGGGTCAGAAATGGCGTGTTCAGACGGCTGCTGTCAGACCGAACAGGACTATGTACCCTACTCGAGATTCTCCTACGGAAATGGACAGCAACTTAGTTTACAAGAAATGTTAGAGGTAACTTGTAATCGTATTTTTTATTAAGTAATACACTAGAATCCAAAAATTTCACACGAAAAAGTGTTTTAGGTTTTTTGATTTTCAATGTATCTTTTTAATTGATCATTGACGCCAAAAGTATGGATTAAAAAAATATATACGGCATTAAAGTCGGCTTCTTATTTCGCAAAATTTCTTCTATGAATGAATATTTGAATAACTATTAAATATAATCAAAATTTTGATTAGTTATTGTTTTTATTTCAGGATCACTTTTATTCCGACGACGATAGCGATTGCTACATAACTGCAGAGGAAGTATTAGAGTTCAAGACGAACAACAGGCAGGTGTGTGAGAAGAGAAGGGAACTGAGGGAAACGTTACAAAAGAGGTTTGCGCATCTATGCGTTTACGGACCAACGGAAGTGCCTCGTGTGCTCACTCAGTCCAAGTAAAAACATTTTCTACATTACTTTTTCTTTTTTTGTTTATATATTTTTTTTATAATTTTAACTGTATAACTGGTTTTGGTTCGTTCACGTTCGTCGGATTTATTTACCCAATATATCAACAATCATTTCACCATTTTTACCCCGATTTTTTGTGGGATAATTTTCACTAGTGGAATAAAGATTTTGTTTGGTAAACGTGACCATTTCTCTTGTTTCTTTTTTCTCATTTAATTATTTTGCTTCTGCCTTGTTCTTTCAAAGGCTTTGTGCAATAGATAAATACTACTTAACAGCGCAAATTGAATGTCTGCATTATTTAATAAAACAGAAACTTCACTAAATTCGTTGCGGCTGTAAAAAATTTCAGTTCTAATTTTAGTCAAATAAATATAAATACTTAATGTTTAAATCCAAATAACTACTTAATAATATAATTATTTCGTCTAATTTTCTGTGTATTCTTTTCTCTAGTTTATATATTAATTTCAGTTTAGAATATTTTGCCGGGGCAATAGGAAGTATTTTTTTTTTCTATCAAAAGAAATAGTATTGGCAATTTCTGCATTTCCTGGCTACTTCAATTAATTTTTCGCCGTTACTGAAATTAGTGAAATTTTTGTCTCTTAATATTTTGGCAATTAACAAGTAGTAAACGAGCTGATTCATCTAATTATTTATCATAGACCAATTTGTAATGAGAATGAATAACAGAGTGTGCATATCTTAAAGAAAAAGAACTGTTGTACTACAAAGGATGTTTTCAATGAAATGCTTTATTCTATATTGGAAAATTATCATTATCCAGCAATTTACTGATGAAGTCACTTCCTAAAGGAAAAATTAGTAACTGATTTGCATGTATTATATATTATTTTAGTTGAAATCTAACACTCCTGTAGAGCCAATTAATGACTGAATGTTTATGTTCTTTAAGGAGCTTCAAAAGTCTTAATAGTTGGGAGGTGTGACTTTATCGGTTATTTTTTGAAAATTAATTAAATTGAAAAGTGAGAGTTATTTGTTGCATTCCAAAACTGTTGTTATTATAGATTGTTTTTTTATTGATATCGGCAAATGCTTCATGTATCTGTAATTAAAATAAAATGTAACCTTATAATCACTTATGTTTTAAATAACAAGTATACGCGTATAATAGATTAATTTTGAAATTTTAATATGTTTATCTATTAAATTACAATTAGTTAAGTTTTTTATTACAACGGTAACTTTTATATCTTAACATTACTCTTCAAATTGCGCCAAGCATAATGTAGCATTCGTGCCTCCAAAACCGAATGCATTTTTCAGAGCAATCCTACGACCCCTGGAGTGCCATTTTTTGTTTAATTCTGTAACAAAGTCGAAGTGTACCCCCTCAACAGGCTCCTCTAGGTTGATTGTGGGAGGCAGGATTCCCTCCTGTAACGCTTTGATAGTGAACACAGCTTCCAGATTTCCTGCAGCTCCCAGCAGATGTCCATGAGCCCCTTTCGTCGACGATACAGCAACGTTTTTCGAATACTCTCCGAAGAAACTGTCAATCGCTTTGGCTTCAATGGCATCCCCTATGGGGGTGGATGTTGCATGCGCATTTACATAACTCACTTGTGTTTTGTCGATGAGTGCGTCTTTCAATGCTCTTTGCATTGACAAAACTGCGCCTGAACCATCGGCCTTCGGGGTCGTTAAATGAGACGCGTCCCCCGATAAACCATAACCCAATATTTCGGCATAAACGCGAGCGTTTCTTCGTTTGGCATGTTCTAGTTCTTCGAGGACCAGGATGGCGCAGCCCTCACCCATCACAAAACCATCTCTTCTTTTATCGAATGGTCGAGATGCGTGGGTTGGATCGTCATTAAAAGAAGTGCTGAGGGCTCTCAACCGACAAAAACCTGCTATAGCCAAAGGACTAATGCAAGCCTCTGTCCCACCACAAACCATTACGTCAGCATCACCATTTCTAATAAAACGGAACGAATCTCCTACTGCATGGGCACCAGTAGCACAAGCCGTCGAAACAGAATGATTGGGACCCCTGCAATAGAAAAGGTAAATTTTTCAATTCTGTTTTTAAACAATAAATATGAACAATAACATTGAAAAAAGGTCGTGTAGAAACATAACTGGTGTATTCACATTTGTTAATTTATTGTATTTTTAGGGCATTTCAGCAACTTAGCAAAGTCTGTTTAAAATCAAAAATTAATAGAATAATAAAGAGCAACAAAAATTACTTACCTATTACATGCTCTTCTTTTATATTTTTACAATTTTTGAAATTCATTCCATGTTTATTTGCAGACTTTACTTAGTCACTGACAGTATTGACAAAATTAAAATTTTCTCAACATAATCTTGCCCCTACCTAAAACCATATTTAATGCTAATTTGTCCTGCTGACATATTTGGTAAAATTCTAGGGACAAAATAAGGGCTAACTTTACTAGTTCCTTTACAAAATGCAGCATTTGTTTCACAAATATCACGCAAGTCTACCATCCCCATTCCCACAGCAACACCTGTAGATTCCAAATCAGACTCGTTTAATTTAATCCATTTTGCATCTTTCAATGCCTCGTTTGCAATTAGTAATGCAAAAGAAGTTGCTAAAGACATTGATCTCAATTCGGTTTTAGAAAAGTGATTTTGTACATTAAACTCCGACTCATTTATACAAGCTGCTACCTTGCACGGCAGGTTTTCGTACTCCTTTTCTTTTAATTGTTTTATTCCACATTTTCCGTTAATGACATTGTGCCATGACTCTCTCAAGTTGCACCCCACAGGAGATAAAACCTCCATTCCCGTTACCACGACTCTTCGACGCATAATTACACATTCATTTTATTTTAAAAATATTTCCTTGGTGTACTATACACAAACTGCTTTACATTTATAGTAACATTAAGAGGAATAACATAAAAAATTAAATAAAATCAATGTTCTTTATAGGTTAAGAAAGACTTTGACATAGACATAACATAGATAAGATTGGATAAGATTAACTATGGATAAAATAGATATTTGACAACTGGAGTATGACATCGGAGCATCATCTATTATTTAGCCACTTAGCCGTAAAAAGGAAATATGAAGTGTTTTAATTTATACAAAATACAATGACGCTAGAAATTAAATGAATCAGAATTATAAAAGAAATTAATGAATGCAAATGAAATAATGTATTAGAACTCAATCTAAAAGTAGCCTGGAGTATTTTTAGAATACCGGCTAACCATATTTATGACATTAAAAATTTCTAATCGATTAATTTAATACATAACCTAAGTTCTTAAGCGAGTTATCATAAATTCCGGATAACTTTATATTATTTCTTTGTTGGTGTTTTGATTGCTTCGGTGCGTACTTTATAATTGATATACCATATATTATTTGCATTTATTTTATGATTAGAGCTGTAGATAAAAAATTTTCTTTTTGTTTTAGCATTTTGAACAATTTGCATATGAAGGATAGTTTCTTACAAGCCGTTGTCATAACAATATTTTGGACTGCATTTTAGACTTAGAAAGAAAGGTACAATTTCATTCAGTATTCTTTTTTGTTAATTATAAATTAAATTTTTTCAGGCATACAATTTATTAAAACTCAGCTTCACTTAATTATTTTAAAAATTAGTTTGTTGAAGAGAAACATTAAAAGATTTATACGTATTTGCTGTTTTACGGTTCAAAAAATTATTTTTAGAATTTTAAATATTTCGCGCCAGTCCAGACAGGATATGCTAATGCAGCGCCCCCCCTTGTGTCAATTTCGGTAACGTTAAGATAGTCTCATTACCAGATAAAGTAAATGTACAGGCCTGACGCTAGAAGCTGGCGGAAATTTTAAAATGGCGTGGATGCGCGATGGCACAAGTAGGCAGTTTTAGGTATAAAGATTGCAGCCCTCATTCTTCAGTATTCCTATCAGGGGCGTAGATTAAATATTTAAAAGCAGGAATCAGTGAGTAAGTAATAGACATACAAACAGAAAAACTAATTGTTGATGTTGGTGACAGTGATAGAGATTCCGATGATGACAGTGAATGTGAAAACTAACTATAAAACAAAAGCAATAGGTTAATTTTTTCTTTATGATAAGTCATGTTTTTACATTATTTTCTAGTACGCTACTGTCCCATCTGTATTAATACTATAATTTACGCCTACTGAAAGCTTATTTGTGTATCGGTTCCAAGTGACTTACCCAAATAGGTCATAAATGGGCAAGTACCTGCGCGACCGCTCGCCAGCTTCCTTCGTCAGACCTGTAC